AATAGATCACTGGGAAGGATATGTTAACCTCCCTGACCAGACCTCCACTTGCCATTAGTGACCACACTGTAGTAGTAGAGTTCATTTTGTCAGTTGTCCCTTTTTAGCTTTTAACATAGTTAGTTAACCTGTCCTGTTTTGTGTTAGGCAAGTTTTAGTTGACTAAAATCCTGGGAATTTTAGTCTAGTTTTGGTCAGTTAAAATTTAGTCACATTTTAGTCATGCTGCATGATGGTTAAACTGATCATCACAAATATGTTGCTCAAAATTACAGTTATATGAAAAAAGAGTTGTTTAGGGGTGGGGGGGGGAGGGGGGCTGTGTCAAATATTTTTTGTCACAGTTTCTAAATAAAATTAATACTACGAAGTAGGGCTGCACGATTATGACAAAAATCATAATTGTTGATCATTCCCTTGAAATTTAATTTACGTTTAATGATGTTTATACCATTGTTTGATGCAACTGCATGCCATATTTTTATATGAAAATAAACAAGCTGAAAACACTCTAACTGAAAAACTTTTAGCGTTTTTTCTATAGTATTAAGCCTCAAATGTCAAATATACATCAGATAGTTTTTTTCTTCAATTACAAAAATGTACAAATATGAATGGTATTATAATGTTATACTAAAACTAAAATTAAAATAATGGGAAAAACCCTTAAGATAACATGCAGAAAGAAAAAAAAACATCTTAAGCATGCAGAATAACATAAGTGGACTTTGAACGATTAATTTCCGCTGTGAACGATTACGTTATTGTGGCATCCATAATTGTAATCGCGATTAGAAATTTTATTAATTGTGCAGCCCTACTAGGAAATTGATTTTTGAAATTATAATTCCTTGAGGTAGAAAGATAATTAAAATGAAATAATAATAATGATAATAATAATAATAAATAAAAAGCCACATAATTAAATAATAATGTTGAAAGAAATTTAACACAGACTGCTGGTTGCTGTTGGGGAACACAAGTAATTGCTCATTAAATAGTTGATGGCAGATGAGTGCAAGGTTTCTAAAATTAATAAGACTCTGGTATTCTGACACTACTCTGTTAGTCTAATCAGACTACACTGGTTGTGTTGAAGGAAGAAGGGCAATTAAGAGGCATTTGTTTAGGAATCAGGTTGCAGTAGTCACACTGTATGATTGTGGTTTTTACGAAGAACACAACTAAACCACTCAGTGAATTGTACCATATATAGTAGGGCTGTACAACTGTAAAATAAATAAATAAATAAATAACAATAATAATAATAATAATATGGGATGCGAGAACATTGTACTTGCAAGAACATAAAATTGTACCCATACAATAAGTAAATAATTTTTTTAACGTCAAAAATAGAAGTTACTGCAAGTAATTTAAGCATTGCAACATTATTATAGTATTAAATAAATGCAGTTAATCAAAATTAATAATCATGATGACAATAGCTATGTTTCCATCCAAAGATCCAAATTAAACTTATGCGCAAAACTGGAATATTGCATAAAACATTTGCAAATAAAGCACCGTTTCCATCCAACGAGTCAAAGATAACAAAATCATCACTTCCTGGTAAACTGGCACTAAATATCACTAAGAAAACTAGGAGAAGCCACTGAATATAATAATTGTCATATTTCTTGCACCTCAAAGCGAGCAGACGAAACACAATAAATGCAGTCATTGCTTTCGGAAGGTGGATGCCAGCTGTTTGGGAACGCAGTCGTGTAAGACAATTACACAGAAATACTTTGACCACAGACTTCGCTCAGGCATTTCAGAATGACCATAACAACATATAGACGCTGTGAACGAGATCGGTCCGCTGCTAGTCAAGTTATCCCGTCTCATAGCGCAAAGTTATATGACTTTTTTTGATGTGCATGGAGGAATTTATTCGGTAAATGTGTTTCCATCATAGATTATGCACATTTTTTTCTTACCAGATAAAACGTTTATCCTACTCAAATGTGCGCATACGGTTTTTATGCATATTTTTAGAATTTTGTGCATCTTGGCGGTTTTTTTTTTATTATTGCGATTTTCCAAAATGTGCATAAAAGTAGGTGGATGGAAACAGCTAATGTCAAAGGAAATAATTGACAATTATTATTTGTCATAATCATGCAGTACCATACTGCCATCCACTTTGAATATTACCACATAGTATTATGCTTCAGATACGAGTCACGACGAGGCGTTCCCCATAGCGACCCCTAGAGGACGCAGTTCGAAGTTCCCATGAAAGGGAACAGCATGCTCATGTTACAACTAAACATCAACATCAACAAATCAATGGCATATCACGTACCACTCCAAAATTACATGTTATTGAAGAATTCTGAGCAAAAATTACTCTGTCTCAGCTAAAACAGCCATTTTAAGCCAAAGAGTGTCTATGGCACTATTATTAATACTCAAGAATTCATTGCACTAACTGTGAGAGTTGCTACTGTAGCTAACTATTAAAGGGCTGAAACTATGCTAGCTACAGTAGCAACTCTCACAGTTAGTGCAATGATGTTGGTCGGGGTGCAGCTGACATGGTGGTGGATATTGAGGGACGTCATGGGTTAACAAGCGCACTGAGTGCAATAACAGCGGAGGGGTCAATCAATTACTGCACTGAATGGACGAGACAAAAAGACACAACTCGTAGTAGAAGAGCTGAGAACAGAAAAGAACAAGCAAGATTTCATCTACGCTCGGTATTCCTATAACGCGACAAGCCAGCGGACCCCTGACGTCTCTGAAGTCTGGAAGTGGGTCTGCTGCGAATCACAACAGTGAGATAAACTCCTCCGTCTACAATCTCTGCAAGCTTTCCTGAGTCATCTACAGAGGACCTTCACAGCAAACACATACAAACACGCTCATACAAATAAAGCAGCTCACAGCGCAGGAAACGACAGAATGAGAAACGCTGCAGTGTCCAGGCAAGCCAGCTAGCCTTCAAAGATGAACAGCCCAATATATTTATAAGAATTCATAGTGCATCTTTGCAGTTGTTGATTTAATAATGGCTTGTTGGAGCAGCAGACGCTGGATTTCGCCAGGGAGAATTTGTATAAATCAATCTGTGCACTCGTGTTTAGCTTTTAACAAGCCATTCATCACATTTTACTGGAGGCAGGACAGAGGTATAACTGATTTGTTTACTAATCCATGGAATTTGCAGCATTAAAGACATCCTATACTGGATTCTGGCAATTAATTAGTTTCTGCCTGTGTGTTTAATTCAGCATTAATCTAGAAAATGTCATATTTTATAGGTATTAGTACATACTCACTCTGCAGAGACGCGTCTATAGCTGACTAAACAGAGAATCAGTGCCCAACTGTTTTCAAATAAAGATAATAACTACAGACCGACCCTAACACCAACAGAAATGTGCAAGATTACATGTTTTTATAATTGACTTGTCTGTGGGTCATCTGAATGAATCAGCCTCAAACCTGTATAATTATACAAAATTAGCTTCATGTTTCTTGGGGTGCGTTCACATGCGGCATGTTCTTGTGTTCATAAACTGCTTGACGGAGCGGAACAGAAAATGTTCTCAAGACGTAATTTTAAAAGATGAACTATGTTTTTATTTAACTGCTATCAAGCTGTGAGGCACTAAATGAATAAGTGAAAACAGCTAGTTATGTCCAGATGGTGTACATGTGCTCATAAATAAGGTAATTGACATATATGCAACAAATAAATTGGTTAAACATCATAATCTTTAACCTATTGACAGTGCAAAGAAAATGCAGTACTATTTTTTTCTTCTAATTCATTGCTAAAGCTTTTGACATGTTAAGCAAACAGAGAAAAACAATATATCAACCTAGCCTCTATTACACTTTGGTGGGAAAAACAAAACATTTTTATGAACCACTTTACCATTTGCACTGACTAAAAAGGAAACACTGTCTTATCAGGATCTTTTTTTTAATACTGTTTTTGGTCTTGTTTTTTTTTTTGGCAATATCATAGTTCTTTTTCAAATAACTTTTGAACATGGTAATTACAGTACAAGCCAAAGACATCTCCCAATAGGCTGTTTTGTCAAATGTTGCTTATTTCTGCGAACATTTTTTGTAAAGTATAACTAAGTTAGAGACACGCACACATACAGTGCATCAACAAACTGAGAGGGTGGTAAGTGTTCCACAGAAATGAGTATTGATTAAACAGTACACTGAGATTTAGAGTGGAATGAGCAATATGAGCCATCTTCTCCAATTCTAGATAGGCACACATCAGGGACAGCTGCAGAGTTCAGCATGACTGCCAGTGTGACTCCCATTATACAGTACTGCCAGCAAGAAACTCGTCATCTCTCCACTGAGACAGCTCATTGCAATATTGATAGCTGATGTCAACCATTGTATATTTGAGCGTGCATGTTTGTGACTGCACATGCAATATGTACCACTGGAGTCTGAAATACAAGACATTTGTCTTCTAACTACTGTAGATTCCCTTTGGAGACACAAATCTTTGGGGCCAGCTGTCAATGCTAACCAGTCAAACCTGGACCCCCCAAGTGACATGTATCTTTGCGTTAGTATCTCTGTGCCCGCCTGTGGATAGATACAGAAATACTGCTGATTCTGAAGGCTGTCGTTTTTGCACTCTATTTTTCCCTCTCCTTCTCTTTCTATGTTCTCGTATCTGTGACACCTTTCTTTAAAAAGGGGGTCTCAAGAGGGTATTTGCTGACAGCCTTTTCGGGCTACTCATCTCTATTGGAGTTCAACTTCATTTGCTTTAGGTATTTTTCTGTGTGAAAGATGCAGTGTTGACAGGCTGAAGAGAGGCCCTTGGTGCACTTCAGCATTGCGCACTAATCACACTTGAGTACTTGAGAGTTGTTCATTGAATAAATTCTTTAAATTAGATTGTGTAACATTAAACAACTTCTTAATGGATGTCTGTGGAGCTCTAAAGTGGAATGTTAGTTAAAACATTAAAGTTTAAGTCTCTGTTTCTGTCTCTTTTGTTTCAGGAGTGAATGCCATGTTTGCTCAGCAGCCTCAAGACTTGGTAGTTGTGGCTGGTCAGCCGGTCACGCTCCCCTGCTCCATCCCTGGTTACCACGGTGTTGTGCTCTGGATCAAAGATGGCCTCGCTTTGGGCGTTGGAAGAGAACTTATAGGTAACAATGTCATAAACAGAGCCTCTACTTTTAAACAAAAAATATCTGTTTTATTCTAGCTTAAAACATTATTTTTTATCAACACTTGAATATAGGTAGGTTTCATAAAAATGCATAATTTTGAGCCAAAAGGTGAGAAAATCAATTTTTTATCAAAAACTACATCTGGATAATATTCAGTACGATTATCAAAGCATAAATCCAGTAAATCGCTTCCATCAAGACATCCAAAGCTTGCACAGACATATACCACTTCCTGGATCAACATTTTAATCCGTAACATTATGCAGTTTTCATTTATATGCTGTCTATTGCTGATGATCGTATCATTTTTCATATGCATCTGTTTACATAAGAGATCGCTCGTTTCTCTGTCCTGGTCACATGTGTTTTTGTTCGGGAGGTTTTGTACTCGTTCAGAAGCGTAATAGCACCCCCGAGTGTATAACAGTGAAAACATGAAAAGCCGTAAAAACTCATCTTTGGCGGGGAAGCGTTTTCTTGTAAAAGACGAGATAACTCATCAATGGCGGGGAAAGAGTTAACTAGACAAATTATGCTGGTCAAATAGAAGTCATCTTCACTTGTAAGACCATGTTGGTTGACTATCTTAACTATCAGCCCAAAAAAAGAATATGCTGGTCAACTTGCTTTACAACACTGCGAGACAGACTGCAGCAGTCAACCATCTTAACCAGCTTGACAAGAATGACCATGCTGTCCATCTATCCTAACCAGCATTACAAGAAAGAATATGCTAGTCATCCAACTTAACTAGCTTAACAAGATAACGTTGGTAGATTTGCTTACCCATTTTCTCTAGACAAACTATCTTCACATCTTCAGACCATGCTGGTTGACTAACTTAACCATTTTCACAAACAAATGACAATCCTGGTCATCTAACTTTACAATATTACAAGAGAGACTGTACTAGTAAATCATCTTAACTATGTTCACAAGAAAGATGCCATTGATTTAACTTAACTAAGTGTTACAAAAACAGGCTTCACCATCTTCCCAAGAAAAACCATGCTGCTAAACCAACTTAACTAGCTTCACGAGAACAACCATGCTGGTAGCTTAACCATAATCAGAGGAAAGACAGTGCTGGTTGATTAGCTTAAACAACTTTAAAAGAAAGACCATGCTAGTCGACCAACCTAATTAGCTTAACAAGATAGACAATGCTGGCTGACAATCCCAACCATGCTTCACCATCTTCACAAGAGAGATGGCCAACCAAAACAGTGAAGCGTCAACTTCTAGACTAACACTAACCTGCATAAACCAACCAACACAGGCATGGACATTCATACTGGTCTAAACTGCTAATTTCTCCAAAGAAATCGGCGGACTAGATTAAAAATTTAAACAATTTACTCTAATGACTCCGTGAAAGGCAAAAGTGTCCACAGCTCCTGCAAATTTGATTTAATTTTACACTTCAACTAGCAGCCAGTCTTCATCTGCCTCTCAAATAATCAAATTGGTTTTAAACAAGGCTTTTGCTAATTAAAGCTGACTTTGGTACACAAGTTTAAGCTGGAGGGTGTGATTGCTTTTTAAAAACTGTTCATTTGGTGCCAGGCGTAGAAGGACAAGAGCAACCAAAATATAACCTCTTAAGTACTTTTAACGGTTAATAGTTTGTGAAGTGTGTGGCTCTTCCCCACTTGCAAAGTGCTGCTTGCTTGGCTAAGTTGATTGCTTAATTCGCGCTAACAACCATTGGATTCCCATTCCATCCGCCTACAGGCTTTGAGCATCACAAACGTCATATTCATATTCAGGTTGGTCGGAAACAGTTGGTCCCCCTTTATGACATTTACATTGGATTTCCTGGATTACAGCGCATGGAATCCTTGTGGGGAAAGAGCAGGTGTAAGCATCATTTTGAAAAGTGAAGATTAACAAAAGTCTCGAAGCTATAGCACGCATCCCTAGACTCGGTGAGCAGCATAAAGGGTAAATCAACGTTTTACTCCATTATCCTATCACAGATGTAGCTCTGCTTTGCGTCCTGGGATATTTCCAATGCAAAGTATGACATAAAGCCCAGTTGGCCTCTTTAAAAACAGTTGCTGGGCTTATCCTTAAAATTAAATATGTATTCCACTGGAGATCACAGGTCTATTTGCCTCTGACCTTCAGTGGCCGCTGCTCTGTGCCATTTTGGTCTTTAATTAGACCCCAATAGGCAATTGAGCCCTGATAAATCCATTCCGCTCCCAAGTTTGTCATTATCAGGCTCCTGGGAGCTGGGCCCTGGCAGTGTAAACACTGGGAGAAGAGCTTTAAAAGTGGAAGTGGTCAAAGAGGAAGAGAGGGTGAATTGAAGCCGGGGTGGGGGTTGGGAGGTGAGAAGAGGTTCTGTGCTTGCGGGACTCGTGATTATGAGAAGAGAGACAGAGAGCGGCACTTAACGGCACATCAGCTGCAGTTTAACAGTCACGGCCGGGAGCCGAGGGCCGACCCAATCCGAGGCGAGCCAGCCCCA